GTAATTAAGCAGTGGAAGTCAGCAGAAATAATAGTTTTAAAGTGGTAGACCAATAAATCAAAACAGCTTGTTGGACTGCGAGAGAGGAAAATAAAACCCTCTATCTGACTGCCAGAGGCCTGCTGGATGATTTAACAGATGCTTTGGTGTTTCTGCTGGGACATTTGACCTTGACATAGAAAAGCCTTCCTTTGTCCTCAAAACAAAACAAAGCATGGAATTTTTTTAGACTTAAACTTTGAAAAATTGTAAAACAAATAATATATTTGACAAATGATTAGTTTGGGTTTAACCGACCTTTAAAGACATACAGATGTAAAGATTACAAAAACTGTTGAGGCTGGTTTAAAAAGAGCAGTTTATATAGAAAAAATCAAAATATGTATATATATATATATATATATATATATATATATATATATATATATATATATATATATATATATATATATATATATATATTTTTTTTTTTTTTTTTTTGCTCCTTGTAATGACAAGAAATGTGTAGTGTTTCCTATGAATTTCAACCAATAGCATTTTTTTTCTATTTGTACGAGATGGTAGGGGGGAGCAATGTGTATTGCTGGTGTCTGACCTTAAATTGTTTTTTGTACGACTAAAGGGATACACGCCCGTTAAGGTATTTGAAAGTGTATTTCCCATACAAAAATAAAGCGTTAAATGCAAATCTGACTTCTTGCCGTGCATATTGACTATGGGTATGCTGGTCTGATGGGGTATACCGGTCTGACAGGGTACTCCAGTAAAGAATTCGTGCAGAATTTGAAGCAAAAACCATTGGTGCTCTTTTTTTTTTTTTTTTTTTTTCTTTTTACCTTATCTGTTATATTGTTTTATCTCAACTATAGAAGCAATTTACAACTTAGATCCATTTAACATGCATGCATTCTAAGTAAAACTCCATATGAGGGTAAACATCAATGACCAACCACTTTTTTAAATGTTCATGTGCATCAGTTTCATTTAAAACAGACAGAATTGTCTTTGTTCTGTAAAAGGAAAACACGTGTTATAAATGTTTCACTTCACCAGCTCATGTTAAACAAGAGTAAGCAGTGTCTCTCTTTCATTTACCACCTGGCAGTTTTTGATCAGGCAGCACAGACACAACCTTCAGACATGAAGGCTGCTACCTCTCTGCAAAGATATCAGGATATTTGGCTCCTTTTGTGCTGCAGAAGCTGTCAGTAATCAGTTTTGGCTTCCTTCCTTCAAATGGCATCTAGCCTGAAGTATGAGGTATCCAGCTGCAATAAATAAACACAGATGCTGTGAGAAAACAGCAGATGACAAACATTTTCAATAAGAGATGTTCTTGGTAATTAAGTTCTTAGTGTTTTTCTTATTTTTGGGGGGGCATTTAAATTTTATTGAACCTTACCCACAAACATTATATAGAGCATTAGGAAATAAAACTTTCAATCTCATTCTTTCCAGATTGTGCTACTGAAACGGCATCTGAAATGTGTTAATGTAGGTTTTATGCATTTTTCGTCTCAGATAGCCTTTAGCTGTGAGGAGATATTGGTCAAATTGGATTTTAAAAGAAATCTAACCTCTTTTCGTCTGCTATGACCCTACTGCCTCCTATTCTCCCTGCAAATGAAACTGAACCATCAAAACTTGCCTCCAGCGTTCATCCATCTGAAAATTCTTTGGAGCATCTTTTAAAATAAATTCATGACTTCTAGGAACTCTACTGATGATGGTGAGGATAGCCTACAGAATCATAACATTCTCCCTGGATTACTGTGGTTGAGTCCAAAATACAGAGAGCTGAAGAAGGACTGGATGTAAGAACAGATAGCTAACCTGAAAAATCTGGTGAAGTTTTGGTACAATGCATAATTCTAATTTAAAATATCTAAGAATGCAGACCCATCGGATAAAAATGTGTAAAATGTTAGAATATATTGGTAATTAATACAATCACTAGAGGCCATCTGTGTTTGTAAATCTCCCTTTTGCAAATGGGTAGTGAGGTTAGTTTACTATAATATTTCATTAGTTTGGAGCCTTCAAAGAGAGGGAACTTTCACCCATCCTCTTTCCCAATCTCTGTAGATGACCCAGAAGCCTTGGTCCTTATGCTCTACATTATTCAGCAGCTTTTCTATAGGGTTTAGGTTTTTGAACTGGGATTGCCATGGAAGGTTGATTTTGTCTGGTTAATCACTTCTGTGTTTTATAGACAGATATTTTGCATCCTTTTCCTGTTTGAAAATTATCCAATTTTAGTTTTCTGTTACAGAAAAAATCCCGGTTTATCAGAAGCCTATAAAGAACCAGAGTGCAACATGATTTTAAAGTCTATATTTTGAAGAACAGTAAGCCCACAGAATTAGAGGTCCTCAGTATACTAACGATTGAGCATGTATTTTTTTAACCCTAAACCCATGTGGGAAGTGTTTTGCTGAAAAGCTTAGTCTTAATATTAAATGAATAAATATTTTTTTTTTATAAGAGTCTCAGTGGAGTTTTAAAAAATGTCATTAAGGAGACCTAGTGATTGATACTAGTCCCTGTTTTGGTTCTTGAACATCAGCACTAGATGTTCATTATTGTGCTACATTTGAAAATAAATAATATCGACAGTTAGAAAAGCACTATGAGAGTGCAGCCCTCCACCAAGCAGGACATTTTGTCTGATGATCTGGATCATCACCATAAGGTTATGTGTTGTTCCTTAACATGAGGGACACCTTATTTAAAAATGTTATTGAAAACCGTCCACAACTTTTCAGTTTATCCTTTACACAGACAGACAAACAGACAAATTCTCCTAAAAACCAAACTTGCTTTGCTGAGGCAGCTGTAGCTACAATGTAGTTTTCTACCTTTAGTGTGTGAATGAATTGGTGAATGACTGAATGTACTTGAAAGCGCTTTGGTCTCTATACTGTACAAGTACCATTTACACAATAGTCTGCGTTAGCTTCTTAGACAGTTATCTGCTGCAGCAGATAATTGCATTCCTCCTCAGCGGCCACCAAGGGCTGCTGAGGCCTATTAAGTCAGGTTAGTGGAGGTATGGAAACACCTAAATATGCAGGACAGTGGGTCCTGAGGAGGAAGTTTGAAAACCACTGTTATAGAGCAATTACATTATTTTGTACATTCAACAAACACATTAGGTTTATTGTATCAGTATCACTAATACCAGACTGCATTTTACTTATCATATATAAAGGAAATTGGTGGTATCAAACATATTTTTAATATGATGAAAAGGACAGAATCTTTTTATTTTCATATAACACAGTTTAAATAAAGGAATTATAAAATGTATCAAATTATTTAGAATAGCTATTTTGCTGTCAGCGACTGAAATCTCACTCCAAGCTCAGATCAAAGGTAGAGAGCCCTATCTATCTTAAAGAAAAGGAAAGATATTACAGAAAGTACAATACGAATTCAAACAACATGGCTTTTTTTTCTATTTTCAAATGATTGCTAGGAGACCCAATATTTGGGCTATTGGGGATTTTGCTAAAAGTAGTCATTTTTTAACAGGGACATTTTTATGGTCCTGAATAAATGTACTAAAATCAGAGGTTGGATTTCAAAAAAGTTCTGCCTTTTTTGTTATTAGGGTGGATTTTTTAGGGTGTAACTAAATGTGTCTGCAACTTTAAATCAATATATTTAGCCTTTAAAGTATTAACCAAGCTAATACTTGCTGACAGCATTTTAGCTATTACTGAACTGGATATTGCAAACAGACACAAGCATTTTATGGAACGCTTGGAGCTTGAACATGCAAATATCTCAGCACCGTCTATTAAACTGAAATCACTTTTCCATTTCTTTTCTCTGTGTTAATGTGTCTTTCTTCATTTTCTGCTTGACCAAGCCCAGTAATCATTGTATCTCATCACAACGTCGCCCTCTTTCCTTCTGCCGCAGCTCACCAACACAGCTGACCAAAATTAAACAAAGACTCATCACAATAAAGCCTGGCATAAACATCATGCTTTTTCTGCACAGACCATTATTGTGCCATCCTCCTTTACTGCAGAGATAAAAATCACCAGTAGTAGATTATGACAGCCATCACTTTGTATTGTGTCTCCTGCAGCTGGTATCTAGTTTTTAAAGGGACAGTGCTGAAACACATGAAAAAAGGCTGACATTATAGCCTCATGGTCAAGTTAATAGATTTACAAGTGATGTCAAAACAGACGTGTGTTACTGTAATTAAATAAAGATGGAATCTAATCCATTATTGTGCCCTGGTTCATGCAACTTTTACTTCATACATTTTTAAATTTAAACTGTCAGATGTAGATTCAGCTGTCTGTTCTAATACAGAAAGCTGTGAAAGCTGCCATGCTCTAGAAAAAGTACGAACAAAAATAAAAAATGGATGCAGAATGAGCCCCAGAAAGTCTTTCAGCCATATTCTGGGTGAAATCTTAGATTTACACAGAATAGCAGCAAGTAAAAATCAACAGATCTTCTTTACGTTTTGAGGCAGCGTATGTCAAACTGAATGGAGCCAGGGTCCGCACAGTGGAGGATCATCATTGGAGCTGAAGAGAGCGTCTCCACACTTGACTGCACAGATTAAGAGAGTGACGGGGACCTATGACTGGCTAATTCAATAGGAGCACTCTCTGTAGAAAACACTTCATTCTCAACAATGTCACCTGGCTCTCCTGTGTGATATATCCTGCCATGAAGTATTATACAGCCACAGTGTAACATCCCCCCCCCCTTCCCACTTTTTTTTATATCAAGCTTTGAAGTAAGAGCAGTGTTTCAAAAGTCCAAGCAGTCATCAATTTATATGAGGAGTTCAAAACACACCTCTTCTCACTCATTAGGCTTAACTTTAACAACTTTGGCTATCAGTAAAAAGCTGTGTTTAAAACGAACGCCCCAGTTCTTACGGCACATCCACATCACAGACAGGCCGATGAATGATACATATATCTGAATTTCTGAGTGTCTCTTCATTTCTTTTTCCTTTTCAAAAGGGGATCACTGGGATAAGGTTTGCAGAACATCAGAGGTGCTACATCAGGACCCAAACTAAGGAACTACCCACGGTGACCGAGATGAAGGCTGAGGACAGAGAGATGCTGGTACAGTATGCCTTCACACTCTCCTATATGCCTCTTTTAAATTGCTGCAGTCCTGCAGGAGACTGTCATGCATATTGTCAGGAGATAACCAGAGCTGAGCTCAAATCCTCAGTCTGTCCATCTCATCCTATCTCGCCTTCCCTCTGACTGAGAAATAAACAGGAGTTTGTGGTGCCTGTGAAACTACCAGAAAGCAAACCACAAACCCTCTGCCTCTTTGTGGCCAACATCAAATGGGGCTTCACTGTCAATCTTGAGCCAACATTAATTTTTAATCATCTCCTCCAAAGGCTCTACCCAAATAGCCTAAAGGGGGAAGGGTTGTTGAAGAGGTCTGAGCAAAAGGTAACCCATTAAAATGGTATTTTTAAGCAAAGTTTTTCTTTATAAAATTCACAAGGCTCCCCCTCACCAAGTTTAGGGTGATTTATTTTAGTTATCTGGCTTCTTAAAGTTGAATGTGAACTTCAGAACAAGGAGTAGAAAAAAATTCAGTCAATCAAAATTCCCATTTTTCAGTGTCACACTGAAATTCAGCAAGTGGGCCACATGTTTAAAGAGAAAATCCTTTTCTCAAATGCCTCAGCTTCTAGCATACTCTCATTTACATTTCAGATTTCAGCTAAGAAGAAGTGGCTGGCAAATATCTGACGCTCCCCACTGCTTCATCTTAAAAAACAGAGTAAGCCAATTGTCACTCCAGCTTTAGTTTTTAACTTTAAGAACACAAGCTGTTACACCAAAAAGCACTGTTTTTGTTCCTTTCATCTTCATATTGTCTGATCCACGTTTACAGATACTAATTGCCCAGGCAGCGCCATATGTCCTTGCCATCTCTGTCTTCCTTTGTGTACTGGAAAGCCTAATTGGCTCAATTCGTAGCTCTAGAGTGAAGCATGAAAGCACTGAAAAGTGACTTGGGCTCATATCAGTATTAATGGACACCCTCATATTTAATGAAAAATAATGATTCAAAGGGCTATTTAAGTTGCGTTTTACTTTAATTTGCTCTCACTAGTGCAACCTTACCTTTAAAAGGAAAAGTTTGCTGGCACCCCGCCCAATTATATTGCAAAGGCTTGACTTAAATCTTACCCATCAAATGTTCTTATGACTAACTTATATTTTTATTCAATTTAAAAAAATCATATTTCTATTTCAGTATTCATCATTTTGTACAGTGGGGATTCAGATCAATCAAATACACCAAATATACTAATCCTAATAAACATAAATTATCTTTTTTTTAAAACACCTTAGGTAAATCCCATAGACAATGATCTCTAAACCCAGTACAACACCTCCGGATCAAATTAGGTGAAAATCTTGGTGAGGAGGTAAGCCGGCCATTTGAATAGCTTAAGTTAGTGCAGAAATAGATCTACACCTGCAGGGAATGTTAAACCCTCCTGTTCTATTGAGATATTTGGTTGGAAGCTGGTTGCAGATACGGCAGCAAATTATAAAAAGTGATATATATAAAACAAAACCAGATGAAAAACGTAGCACTCCCAAGTAGTTTTCAAGACTCAAGTAGCCTTGAGTCTAATCTAGGCATTATATAATTGATATTGTGTGAAGCATTGATAGTAATATGTTCTGGGTATTTTATTTTTGTTCTGGAGAACTGCAAAAGCATCAAGAGTAGATGGAGCTTGATCTTTGTTAACAGAATATTTTCTCTTACAGTATGACAAAGAGCCAAATAAGTATCTCTGATATTGGAGGTAGATGTTTATGAAAACGTTATAGCTGTTGTTTTCTAAATCAGCTTCTATTTCTGATTAAAATAGAGGATAAGGAAAGTCTATGAGACAGTGTTTTATTTCCTGTAGATTATCATTGATGTTTAAGCCAAGATCCAAAAGTTCTATGTCCCTAGGAAAGGTTTCGATTTGTAGAAAATGGATGCCATACTCATCCAGAAGACGATCCTGTTGATAAAATGGTAGAGACATTTGAACTGACCTCTGATGATGCAATGAAGATTAATCATGGTTTGAGTTTTTCAGTCTGATGCTGGTTAAGATAAGATTGGACTACAATGGTGACTCTCCTGTCCTCTAAGGGCTGACAAAGAGTCAGAGCAGAATCTGGATGGCTGTTTATTACTGCAGTTTGCACCACCTGAATCTATAGAGTCATATAATTGGTACTCTGTTAGCGCAGGACTAACCTGGCATCAGCTACATTGATATGCATAGAACATAGATGAGTTCTATGTTATCAAGCTGGGACGGCTGCCGTTCAGTCTGCATGTGAAAAGGAGGGACGTTTAATACTCCGAGCTGATTAGGTGAAGTGCCAGCTAGGGGTGTAAATCACACCCATCATGGCGATTCGATTCAGTATCAATTTTCTGACCCAACGATTCGATTATTTTCAACACTCAAGAATACAACACGATTCGATTAATTGGTTCATTTTTATTTTTTTTTATCTTATAGGCTAGACAATGTTTCAAATTCTAAATAAATAAATGAAAGCTGTAATAATGTTATGCATTTTATTTGAGAAAATACAGCAAACAAAAGAAGTAGCAAAGTTGTACTCCACCTAGGCCTATGAAAACCTTATTCACTGAAAAATAATAATGCCCCTGTTTTATAGATTCTGAAAGCAGAAAAAAATACTGCAAGGCATAAGTGCACCAGCAAATTAAGTAACAAAAATAGGCCTATACTACACCGCAGCACGGGTGTCAGAATTACATCCAGGAGCAAATGGATAAAAATAGACTGGAGGGGGAAAAAAACATGAATCGATACTCTTGCTGACGTGTCGATGCCTCGGATTGTTGGCTGTTGTTTACACCCCTAGTGCCAGCTAGTACCTACCTTCCATAATACGCTTTTAGCCAATCGTAGCATCGAATTGTGACGTTTTCACAACTAGCAGAGTAAGCTGATAAATCAAACTTTTCCTAAATCCTGTCAGAAGAAAAGCATAGACATCTTTCCCATCTACAAATGCTCCTTTTTTAAACTAGAAGTTGTCGCTATTTTAGCTAAAACCAAGTCAATTGCGGTATCGACAGATGAGTTCTCCAGCGTAGCCATGTTTGTTGCAATGCCCCTCTGACTGTCGTCATTTCTACATGTCCCGCCCCAAAACCCACTGCTGGCATGTCATTGATCCAACTCACTGGTTGTTACGAGAAAGACGTATTATTGAGAGTCCTTCAAAATTGATTTTTTAACTTTGCTGTGAGACTGAAAAATCAGATATCGTGACATTTCAGCTTGCAGCGCAAGGTTAGCACTGCAGGGATCCACAATTGCGACATTCAACGATTTCTAAAGAGTCTTTAGAAGTACTTTGCTAACCTAGAATTTCGAAATTTTGGTGAACCTTGCACTGTTTTAGGCGTTGGTTCAGGATCTCCTTATTTTGCCTACCCCATTTTGTTGAATGTGTAGGGACTCTGGGGTGGGGGACTGGCCCCCCTTTAGTATGTAGAGTCATCCTTTGTCAGGAGGTATTTTATCTTTTTAACCTCCTTCCACCTTATCTCAGTCTTTGACAACTTAAGTTTTGTAGCTTTTTCTTTATGCAGACATCTGATGTTTGGCTTGGAACTGAAAATACTTTTTAGATTCCAGTTGGGATTCATGCTTTTACAACAGGGTCAACTGACAAAGAACATCTGTAATCAGAATGTTTTTAGTTGGATTTTGAATGAAAGGAATCAATTCCAGAATCTTTTCATCACATAGAGCAAGGTTGAAGCTATTTGAATTATCCAACTCTTTTGCTGATACGTTGAGGAGGTTTGCAACTGCAACCCTGTCTCTCTATGTGGGGTCCACCATGTGTGCAGCCTTAGCTGTGTGGATTTTTGACTCCATTGTTGCTGACGGCAAAAGTTTCAAAATAACATTTTCAAGCAAAACACTTTCGCGTCAGTGCATGTCCAACTATATATGTATGTATTTATGATTTATTTAGAAACACTTTACATTCAGTGTTAAAGATTCTATGCCTTGCTTAAGAAATTATTAGCTGTTTATTATTAGCTCATGCTTGTGCACCAGCATGGGGGGGGTGCTGAAAAGTCTCACAGAGGAATGAAGTTAAGACTGGGGACCTGGAGCAATTTCATTACAAATCGATTTAGGTGATCCTTCTGTTCACTGATTTCCGTTTATCTAAGAATGGGATTTAATCAAGATAACCCAGCAGATATCCTCACAAGAACAACCCTCTCTAACTGATTCTGATAAATCCAAATTTGCTCCCACGCTACAGGGGAGATACTGTATATTCCCCACAGCTGCTTCCTTTACTCCTTTAGCATCTTCTTAAAGTAGAATGGCGATACACTGGTACCATATTCATTATAAACAAGTTTTAATTTTTGCGAAAACTGTGAACACCTCTTGCTTTTGGTCTACAAAAAGGAAACATTCTTTAAAGCAACCAAGATACCACATTCTACCAAAGCATCCCCAAGAAAATTCCTCAATGGCAAGTGCTCTCCCGATCAGCAGGACACTTGTCGACTGGACTAAAGAACTCGCTTGAACCAAGAAGTAATTCACTGAGCATGAAAGTCATATTGATCTAGTCCAGGGGTCTGCAACCTTTCATATTCAAAGAGCCGTTTTGACCAGAGTTCGACCAAGTAAAAGTTGTTTAGAGCCGCAAAATATAACATTTCTTTTACTAGAAAACCTTTTTTTCTTTTAATCTTATATAGGTAATTAGTTGTTGCCATCTCAAACAATCAAAAATTCATTTATTTTTAATGTTAAAAAATATAATTTACAAGCTAATTAGGGATGCACGATATTGGGATTTTGGCCGATATCCGATATGCCAATATTTTAAAACTCATGTAGCCGATAACCGATATCGATACCGATGTTAAAGCTGGACAAAAATAAGTAGTCATTGAAAATAGCAGTTTTGTTATCCATTTCTGACACTTTGAAAAATAATATACTCAAATATATTTTCATATGCTGATATCAAATAGATTTTTAAAAACGCGGTATCGA